GATAAAATTAAGCGAATTAAAACTTATAGTGCAAATAAACTCTCGAAGTTAACTGACGTGCAAATCGATACAATTAAGAAGCATTTCATTACTATACCGCGCGACCAAAAGTCACGCACTCATATGACTGAGGTAAGTATTTCACCTAATAATATATTGCCAGAAAATAAGATTCATGATCATGCTTACTTTCGTAATAAGATATTGTTGCGATATTCTGATCTATATAAAACATTTATTACTGAAAAGTTTGATTACTATGATATTATTGAGGAATCATTATGTCCAGTATGTGAATTAAAGCACGAAGATGGAAAAAGCATAAAAGGTAGATACTCGGCTGGATCTTATTTTATTATATGTGGAAAGCGTGAAATCGAGATAACAGAGTAAATTGTAAAGTCATTCAAACGTTTGTCTACAAAGTTGTTACTGCATCAAAGGCAAGGCATCAATGCTATTGCAATAAATTATTTATTTTTTAATTGTTATTTTGGGATATGTACAGAGTAATATAAGACACAACCCATGCTTAATTTGAATTTGTGATTATATAAAACAATAATATGGATAAAGCTTTAACTCCTGAATATTTGAACTGGCACGCTAAATTGATTGATCCACCAAGCCATTTGACAAATAAAATCTGTTTGAGCTTATATAGAGCATATACGGAAGAAACTGGGCTCGATCCTTGGATAAAGTCTGAAACTTCTAGATTCTCACAGGGTGTTATCAAAATTTCTAAATTTCCAGAAGAAAAAAGTATAATCCATGAAGCAGTACATAAACGTTTCTCTTTCTTATCCTACACTAATTCGAATGCATGGCATCGAGATGTATTTGAATATATCGATTCAGAAGCTAAATGTCCTGTATGTAAAGATGTACATACACGTCGAGGTATATGGGGGTGATTGGAGCTGTCTCGATAAAGATGACTACTATTTTCTTAATTGCTCTTTTCGTATTGATCAAAAGAAGGTTATAATCGCTATACAGAGCTTACTGGAAATTCAGGTAAGTGTACCAAACAAAACCCGCCTTTATCAGCCAGAGGCAGGCTTACGCCAATATGCCATCGAACATGAAATGGATCCTAAGAATTTTTTGATCATTACAGAAACTGAAAGAAATAAGTGGGCCATGAGGTGTTTTCATGGGGATTTGGAAAAAGATATACGCTTTTATCGCAGTGGAATAGAAAGTAAAGAAGACCCTAGAAAATATCGTAAATTTTTAACAGATCGGGAAAGGCTGGTCGGTGAAGAGTTATTACGTCGCAGTATAATAAAAAGCAGTTTAAGTACTGCATGGCTAGATGATCTGATGAAAGAATGGGAAGAAATCAATACTCAATTCATACAAATTTTTAGCCAGACATAGTGAAATAAATTAAATTTATTTTTATTATGTATTATAGCAACGGAAAAATGTCTTATGAATTGCGCGATCAGATTTCCAAGTATATAGGATTTAGCCCCTGAAGAAATCCGCCCCCCAATTACGGATGAAAATAGACAACTATTTCGAGAATTAATAGCAGAATTGGAAGAAATAACCGATATTATAATGAAAGAACATCGATTTTTGCTTAGAACGGGATATAACTATAAAGGTGGGGATCTCATTCATATTTTATGGGTAATCAAAATAACAGAAAGTATCAGCGAAAAAATTTTGAAGCCGATACCACCATCTAATGAACTTTTTAGCCGAGTTTTATCCCATTTAAAAAATAGATTTAAAGATATCCCTCTTGCACCGATACTGACATTTGAGGATGAACACACCCAATACTTTGATATGAATGATTGATCCAATAACTAGGCATTCACCATGATTGATTATCTACCCTAAAGACCTTGCCACGAATGATGTAGTTCTTGATCAGGCCTGTAGGGGCAAGTTACACTCATGGCTCGAGTAAGACTATTTAATAAATTAATTCGTTCTGAATTAGTAAATTCTGATGATACTTTATTAAGATCTGTTAAATTAAATGTATTGGTTGAAACCATTCTATTAGGCCCACCGGTAAAGATAATGCTTCGAGATACCCTTAATGGATCTGGAATACGTGGAGGTGTATTCTCACTCTGTATGTCGTCATCAAGTTCAGAACCAGAAGTATCAGATGATCCAGAATTGGACTGTTCATATGATGAATCATAATTTTCAATACACTGACTCAAAAAATTGTCCCAATAATTAAAACTTTTTTGTTTATAGTGTATATCTTTTGAGCGACTGATTTAA